CTGGTAGCACATTCTGATGGCTGGTAGGCCGCTTTAAAAAAAAAATTTGCTTGCTGCTGGAGCTAGTTTTAGTCCGGCCAGCAGGGGGTGCTCATTCCCTGACTTGTATGGGTGCAAAAGTCTTAGCATAAGGAATCGGACTTCAGAGTGTAAAAGAAGCAACCTTTTGATAAAGCGTTAGACCGGCACCTGTAAAAAGGAGCGTCGTTCAGGTGACGCATTAAGGCACAGACTAGGAATGCAGCTGTTAGATGCAGAAAGCAGCGTCTGGTTCCTCCCAAAAGCTAAGCAGGCCAGAGCCTGGTTGCTACACTGGTGGGAGACCATTTGTGAAAATGTAGCTTGCTGCTGCAGCTAGTTTTAGTCCAGCCAGAAGGGGGACCTTGATCGCCCCAGCCAGATCATTACCTGGCTTGAATGGGTGCAAAAGTCCTAGTGTAATGATGCAGAATTTAGACTGTGAAAAGGAGCATCCTTCAGACGAGGCATTAAATTGGCCTCCTGACATTCTGTTGTCATTAATTCCCCACCTTAATCATGAATTTGACCACATTGTTTAGGCTGGTAGCACATCCTGATGGCCGTATTGAGCTTGTCAGGATGCGCTACCCCTCTATTAGAGCAGATTTATTAAGGCGCCGACTACGAATGCAGCTGCATGCAGTAGGTAGAGTCTGGTCCCTCACTAAAGCTAAGCAGGCCAGAGCCTGAGAAAGGTATAACTGCAGCCCAGAGATCTCCAAATGGGGGCGGGAACGCCACAAAGACTTTTCGCTTCCGCCATGTTGTTGATTGACATCTCAACATAAGTTTGTGAATTTTCTCGCTTGAAGTTGAATTGATCTTATGTTAAATACAATTATTGATGATTTATTGCTTTAAAAAAAGCTGTTGTTTATATTGCTGTGTGTAGCCTGTGGAAGTAAGATTAGCTGCAGCAAGGGGCTATAATATTTTTGTTCAATATTTTCCTAATGACAATTTTATGATCGGTTTATAAAGGCTACTACAAGCACCTTTTCCCCATTTTTATCACAGAATAAGGCAGGAAATTTATAGTTTATATAGGCTACTAAATGATATGTCAATCAGTACTGCATTATTCATAAAGTTTATTTATTACCTGGAGATAACTTGAAAAACACACATAAACCGTATATTTTCGCAATCGTGTTTATTGTCTTCACGTTTTTTTCTGCTTTTGATTCAGCTCAGCTTCAGCGATAGCCGGATGCTTTTGTCCATAGTAGGGTTTCCTGCACGTCAGAAGGTCAGAAGTCATTCCTTCTATGAGTCTGTTTTAGACTTTCTGCACGAGAGCGCTCTCCGGCGTCGAGTATGAATTAAACATACACTGCATGAGAGTGTTGAGCGCTCCAGATATTCACTTCTCCTCATTTTGGATACGAATAAAACGCCAGGTCATGCATAGACTATCGATACTGTCTCTTTGAATTTAAATCTAGAAACCTCTACGTGAACACACCTGCCCGAATAAAGTGAGGGGGACGAAATTACATTTCTTTAAAATTAAATATTAAAAATGCAGCTAACGTTCTACACACAGCAATATAAACAAAGGTGCCTGTTCTCTTTCGTTCTTGCTGTTTGATTGGGAAAAGTTTAAAGGGCGTTGAGGAGTCTTTATGTTATCTGACTAAAAAAGTCTTTATGTTATCTGACTGAAAAATAATTATCACAACACTGATAAAACAGGCTTATACTGATTTTCTCATTCTTCGATTTATAGGCTACTTATCAATCCTGTTTTTATCATCATTATAATTTAAATAAAAGCCGTGCTCCATGTGCCCCGAGCACCTGCCCCTCCAAAGGTCTCTGCACGGCCCTGGGCTGGACTGTAGCCACATTTTACGAATATGTGTATTGATGGTCTGTCAAAGCTTCAAAATGTATGTATCACCGCAGTATACGGCTGTGCAGAGGTAGCTTCACATCTAATGACAGTTCCATGGCCTCAAAAACTCTTCCTGCTGTGGTGTGAGTCTATAAAATGATCATGTCGAAGATAATTGTGTTAAGAAAAATGTTCTACTTATTCACATAAAGTGAAATATCTAGAAATGCTTTTGTATTACAACAAACAAGGACTATACGGTCACCTAACCTGGAGAGATGCCCTTAGGTACAGACAGAAGTGAAGGCTAAAAATGATGTGGTCATCATAATTGTGTACACTCTTGATATCGGTATATCATTCCACAATAGAAGCACTTTTTAAAGAATGTTGATATACCTAAACATTTGACACAAATAAATTAATTTATTCTGTATGGCTTTTTCTCTTACCGTCAAAGACATGTGTTAGTGTTAAAAGTTTTGCACTTTTTGTTATGAGAATGGGGTCACTAAGGACTCTTTGTCCACTGCATTCTGTGCAAAACATTACAGAGGGTACAAATTATTTTGGAGGGTGGTGCTCAAATGATGGTGTCAATACATCCTTGGGAAGTTTGGCTGGCAACTTCTTGAATTTTTGGATGTATGTTGCAGTTCTTAACAACGGATACCTTTCATGTGAAACCTCCGCCTCTTCCAGATAATTGCTTGTGGTATCCTCCACTGGTTCTGTGGATTTGACAGATTTGAACAGATGGCGTTTGTTTTGGAATAAAAACCATTTTGCTATGTACTTATGTATACAGGATGCCCGTGGCTTAGCACAAGGACAGTGCCAGATATTTTTCCTTGAGTTATAGGCCACCATCACTCTCCCAACACGACTATAATATGATGGTTTTTGCTCCAAAACAGAAACATAGTGGATTGTGTCAGGTCCAATGTTCACAGATACAGCAAGTGGAGCAAAGCCAGCATTCTTAAGCCGTTCTAAACACATGTTGTTTTTTTCTTCTTCAAACAAATGTGCAGCCACCATTTCATTCAATGTCTTTTCCTCCAGAGTACAATAACTGGAAGGCACAGAACAATAATCCAGTGATCGTAGATGGCAATATTGAAATGTCTGTTGTCCACTTCTACCAGCAACTTCAGAGTAGAGGCAACACTCCTCAATCTCACAGTCAATATGCTGTTTTGGCCCTTGAATGCTATGCTTGACATGAATAGGAACAGGAGGTCCACGAAATGCCTTTGTCACTGCATAAATGCCTGATTGTGGGTCTATAGGTTGACTCTGTAAGTGGTATTCTTTTGTGATGTCTGGGAACTTTGAAGAATGCCTTCTTTGCATATGGCGCTTCAGATTTTTTCAAATATAAAAGACATATTGCAGTGTGGACACTCCACAATCGTTTGGCTTAATTTGTTAACTCTAAAAGGGCGCTGGGTCATATTCTCACAATGAATACTACCAGGCTGGTCCTTCACAAAGGCAGGGCTCGGTGTGGAGACGTTCCCGGGGCTCGATGTGGAGACGCTGCCGGGACTCAATGTGGAGATGCTGACAGGGCAGTACTAAATACGCTGGCAGATAAATAACTAAAGAAATATTTTCTCCTTATCCTAGTGTCTTTACAGCCTGGGCAATGGAAATGGGGTGACACACTGCAGTTTTGGTGGCATTTGTATATTCTGAAACCTATACAGGGGTTAAAAAAAGGTTTTGTAGCACATTGTAAAATAAGATAAGTGTAGTACTTGTGGTGGTAATGATGTTTAAGGCTGACTGTCATCTAAGTCATCATACATGATTCTTTGATACACTGGTAAATTTACATTTGTACAAGAAGCACTTACCTTTATAGTCCAAAAATACAGTACATTACAACGCACAATTGTATGTGCTTTTACCTGGCACTCATATTCTGTCTTGAAATGACAGACAGGACAGTGGAAGCATCCATCGTTATACTGTACAGAAAGTGCCTGTCCAGAAAAAAACGACTGATCCATGTACCTAATAAAGATACAGTGCCGTGAAAAGGTTTTTGCCCCCTTCCTGTTTTTTAAATGTTTTGCATATTTGTCACACTTAAAAGATTCAGATCATCAAACGCCTGGGCAATGGAAATGGGGTGACACACTGCAGTTTTGGTGGCATTTGTATATTCTGAAACCTATACAGGGGTTAAAAAAAGGTTTTGTAGCACATTGTAAAATAAGATAAGTGTAGTACTTGTGGTGGTAATGATGTTTAAGGCTGACTGTCATCTAAGTCATCATACATGATTCTTTGATACACTGGTAAATTTACATTTGTACAAGAAGCACTTACCTTTATAGTCCAAAAATACAGTACATTACAATGCACAATTGTATGTGCTTTTACCTGGCACTCATATTCTGTCTTGAAATGACAGACAGGACAGTGGAAGCATCCATCGTTATACTGTACAGAAAGTGCCTGTCCAGAAAAAAACGACTGATCCATGTACCTAATAAAGATACAGTGCCGTGAAAAGGTTTTTGCCCCCTTCCTGTTTTTTAAATGTTTTGCATATTTGTCACACTTACTAAACACACAGACACACACACACACAGTGCAAACTGCATGAATAATGATGCCGATTCATCGATAGTGTAAAAATCCCTTAATATTAATGCCAACTTCACACCTGAACACAACAAACCTACGTTTATATTTTTTTCATTAAAGATAAAACAAACGTTAGACTACGTGCTATCTGACCATACGTGGCTACTCGGTGATAGCCTAAGGTCTCAATAAAAAAAAACATTATCTACGCATTATCTAATCCTCCCACGTGACTGGCGAATGTCCAATGTCCAGCCACAGATTTTTATAACACTGTAAAAATTCACCTTAAATGGCTATTCTTTGTTGTAAAGATTGGCGATGCTTGAATGTATATATATTTTTAATTGTGTACTTTTTTTGTGATTTTCCCATGTTTTTTATTTTATGTATGTTCTGCATAAATACTTACTATATATCATTTAAGGGAGATAGCCTGCTCTTGATATTTTTCAAGTGCACGCGGACACGCCCCCTTGTTTCCGTGGAAACGTGAGCACTGCGCACCGTGCGCAGTATCACTTTCACTTTAGAACGAAGGACGGTCGAGTCTTTGCTACAGTATCTTATCCTGGCGAACGCATTTATACAATCATGGACAGGTAAGTGTTTGTAAACTTCTAAGTGTAAAATACCGTAACAACTGCTGTACATTTAACTTCAAATTACACTGCATTTCCTGCTCTTTACGGTATGTTGGAACGCCAGTTGTAAAGCAAGTTTTCTGTGTTCGGAGCTCCACTGATAAAGCTACAAAGATATCCAGCAACTCTCTGTTTTAGTTATCAGAAACTGTGTTTTGCGGTTTACGCTCAATTTGCTTAACAAATAACGCTTAACCGATTCAGCTAACGTCTCTCTCGCCGGCGCAGTTAGGCTATAGTTTTGTTCGTTCTGGCTTGTTTACTTGCATTATAGAAGAACTCAAAATCGTAATATATTAAATAAAATAAATGTATGTGTGTGTGTGTGTGTGTGTGTACTGCTTTTTTATTCGTTTCTATGCAATGTGTTATTATTATTATTATTATTTGACATGTATTTGGGTATATTCTGTCTGTTTATGTTTTAATTCTTGTTTATTCATTTTTTGTTTCCTTGTTTTTGACCTGATATGAAAAGGAGGAGGTGTGGCTTTCGCATTCAGGCATAGCATTCAAGCCCCTCTGCAACATTTTTTTTTCTTAGTCCTCTAGGTGTTGACAGTTGTCACTCCGCCAAACATTTTATCTTGTGACATAACTATGTGAGCTTCAGTAATAATGACAGTGTTTGACAGACAAACAATAATCATGTTGCTTCATTTTGTGTTGTAATAGCCTAACTTATTATTTGTAACTTCCCCCCACTATTTATTGTTTTAGTGTTAAGATGGGCGTGAAGGAAATGGTTATTGAAGTGACTGGACTTCCAGACGAATACCCCAATAATAAAATGATTGACAAATTAACCATGCACTTTCTGAGGCCCAGTAACAATGGTGGAGAGGTTTTAATAGTGATATATCCCACCTCCAACAAAGGCCAGGCTTATGTTGTTTTTGAATCAGAAGGTATGATACTATGCATTGATGTTCTGTTCTTATACGTATATCTAAGTTTAACATCATATTTCATGACTAACATTTCTTTTTCTTTTTTTAATTCAATATCTTAGTACCCCGAGTCTTGGACCATAATCATGTTTTGGAACTGGATAGTCAGTTTTACCCACTGGATGTTAAAAAGATACATCAGCCTAAGGTACGACATTTTATTGGTGAACTTTATTCTCCTATTATCTTGTTTTGAATTTGAATATTTATCTTTTGAGGGCCCCAGAGACATAAATCCAAATTTTGGTTTGCAGCTAAATGAATGCTTTCTGAAAGTAATGCTCTGGCACCATCTAGCGGTCAGAAAAACTATAACACACAGCTGAAATGATTTTCCAAATGCTTGGTTTACTTAACTTTAACCTGTGATATGGTTACAGGTTAACCTGCGACATGATAAATATAGTTTACTCAAGAAAGCTTATGTTAACATATTAAAATACATCTAATTCTCCAAATATTGACATTTTAGACTGATGGGCATTGTTTTTTAATGCACTAATGCACTAATTTTGAATTAATTATTGCATGGTTTGTCAAGATTTAAATAAGACTAAAATTACTAAAATAGGAATAATAATTTAAAACAAAAATGCATGCATTCTTTTTGTTCTTTTGCTTCATGTTCTTGAAGTTTTTCTTTCATTTTTCTGCTCCGGACAGATAACTTCATTTGGAAGTCATAGCCATAAGTTAATAATATGCATGTCATTACCTGCCTCATGCACTGCATGATGTCTGAATCTGAAACCGTTAAATGCATATTTAATAAATTATTAAGTATTAAAAAATTAATTTCCACAATTTCTCTAACGTTTAATCTGCATACTACCATAATGTTTACATTGTATAGTGATGCACTATTTAAATCTTTTTTGAGAGCAAGGGGGCCCCCTGATGGCGTGCTGGCCCTACACAACTTTCATACTTTGCATATAAGGAGGACCGGCACTGCACAAACTAAATAAATAACAGCCCAAAAGTGAGGCATGACACAGGTATTTCCTTAACATGCTTATTATGTTCATATTGTTTTCTCAGTTTGACATGCCAGCTGAAGCATTCCTTGATGTGAGCATGTTCTACAGTCAGAAAAGGATCCGAAATCTTCTTCACAGCCACGGCTTTGATGTGTCAGAGACCAGTTCAGGACAGCTGCATTTGCAGGGAACCTTTCTTAACCTAAAACGCATCCATCCCAAACTCATGCATCTTCTGGCTCAAGAAACCCACTCGCAAAGAAGCGCACCTTCGCAATGCACTAATGGCTTCTCGTCTGACTCTGTCTTCAGAGCTGTCTCCAGTGACTATGAATCTAGATCTCATTGCACATCGAGGCACAGTCACAACAATGGCCACTCAGTGTATGCTGCGGGCAGAAACCCAGATTCTGGAATAAACTCAAGATCCCCAGAGTCCCCAAACAGGCAGGCACTCATGCAGGCTGCCTCTCCACTGGATGTTAGTTCAAGCGCAGAGAGTTCCTTCAGCAGTCCCACCAGGAGCTATGAGGATTCCAGCATAAGCGCTCGGCAGCGGAATCCCTCGTCTCACAGGAAAACTGAGGATTCCTTCCCTGTGGATCCATTCGCGTTTAAATATGTAATGCACTTTAAGAAAGATTTTATTGAAAAAATACAATCTGATCACCAAACTCGTATTAACCATGTAGATGATTCAGGAGTTGTTATAGTTAAACTTTCAGGAGGATCCTGTGAGGAAGCAGGTAAAGAATTGCGTGAATTCATGCAGAACATCACCTCATCTTTACGCACACAAGAAATAGACCTGCATAAACTTAACAGCAGTCGAAGGAGACACATTACTGAGAAGGCTTACTCATTCCAAAAGATCTACAATGTTTTAATTAGGGAGGAAAATGACATTCTCAAAGTGGTGGGTTCCTCTAAAGACAGTTATGACGCGAAGGAAAAGCTTCTTGGACGGGAGGCTAGCATTGCTTCGCCAAGACACTTGGCAAGGAACTTTCTGCGACGCAGCAGCTCTTTGCCAAGACAAAAAACAAGGCATAGAGAGGAGAACCCAGACTTGGGAGGAATTCCTGATGCTGTGTACACTACTACTGTTAGTAGCTCCTCTGCCTCACATTCCCGGACTGACTCTCAATTACAGCCAGAAGTACAACAGGAAAGAGGTCGCAAGTCCTCTAAATCCTCTGCACAATGTGGCAGGGCACACAGCGCCTCTCGATTACAACACAAAAATGAAAGCAGAGTAAACCAAGAACCATCAGCTTATGATGAGCAGGATTTGACACCCCCTAAAGAAGTTCAGACATCTAAACAAGGGCACATTCCTAAAATAATGGCTGCTCTTACTCCTAAACGAAAGATCAAGTTCAAAAACAAAAGTTAAAATTGTTAAAACAACATTAAAACATGAATTCCTCATAGCCTTTCATTGGAAAACACACTTTGAGACTTTTTAGAAGTCAGACACTTTGACACTACTTTAAGAGAGCAGTGGAATGCTGCTCTATGCTGCTAGTTCAGTTTGCTTAATAACATCTATATTCATGAGAAAATTCTGGGTTCAGTACAAAAAGAAAATAAAAAATTGATTGATTGATTACCATGAAAATGAATTTCCACTTATTTAAAAGAAAAAATCTGAATGGGGCTCATTGGTTCAGTATAGCCACAAGACATGAAACAAAATAACATGGGCGCATAAGCATTGTTTACTAAGTTTTTCTGTGTGAAGTTATATTTAATTTTAAAACACCTAACACAGCTGTAAAAATATCGAAACAACACAAATAATGATAAGAACAACTCAAATAATTTCAGTGCATTTATAACATTATAAGCTTTACAGTTCTGCTTTTAACCCCGCCCATTTAAAAAAAAAAAAATTGTTTTTGTGGTAATCAAAATTATGCCACAAATACTGTCAGTTGAGCTTAACCTGAAATATTAAATTGTTCTCAATTTTGCAGCAATCACTGATTATTTTTGAAATTATTGTCTCACATGTGATAAAGAAAAGGAGCATATTCATGTAACTTCCAATGTCTCCTGTCTCTACCTGTCTATTATTATTGCAGTACTTGCATTGTATTCAGTTTTTTTTTTTTTTTTTGTCAAGACTCTCGTTCATCACCATGGTGACTCAATGAGGAAGTGTCTTTTTCTGCATTCTACAGGAAGTGAGGCAGGCCCTGTGGTTGAATTAGGGACTGAGCACCTCCCTGTCAAAAAAAAAAAAGGAAACAAGAGCTGAGGCTCTTGTGTTGAAACCGTTAAAATGTGAGAAATATATTATACAAATACATTTTCCTTATAATTTATGAAGCATTGATTTTGATTTAATATTGTATGAATTGAGAATGTGTATTATCGAGTATTTCTATCAGATACAGTTTTCTGTTGTATAAAAAAAAAATCCCCCATGTTTTGGTCTGCTATTTAAGAATTTCGACAGTGGTCATTATGATTAACTGGTTGTCTTAACACTATTCTTTTTGGGCATTTGATTATTTTTAGACATTGTAATTATTTTTAGGCATTACTGTAATGTAATCAAATGTAATTTCCTTGATCAACAGATGACTAATGTTAATCTATATGAAATAATCGATGAAATTTGTAATAGTTATACATTAAATACTGTGAATAGTGACTCAATATTGGCTCATTCTCCGACTCTCACTCTCAAACTATTGTAATCACATAAACATTCCTTACAATAAACTGAATAAGGTGTTACTCATACCTAAAACATTTTCTTTTTTATTGTCAATAATTGTTTAATGTGTAAAAGTGGAATTGTCTTTAAAGGGATAGTTCACCCAAAAATTAAAATTCTGTCATTAATTACTCACCCTCATGTCGTTCCGAACCCGTAAGACCTTCGTTCATCTTCGGAACACAAATTAATATATTTTTGGTGAAATCTGAGAGCTCTCAGACCCTCCATAGACCGCAATGCAACTGACAGGTTCAAGGCCTAGAAACGTAGCAAGGACATCGGTAAAATAATCCATGTGTCATCAGGGGTTCAACCGTAATTTTACGAAGCTACGAGAATACTTTTTGTGTGCAAAGAAAACAAAAATAATGACTTTATTCAACAATTCTCCTCCTCCAAATGACGTCTTCCGCCATTATTGAGAGTGCCACATAAACAACGCATGCGCGTGGTGCTGCTAACGCAGAACACACATGTCGTGGTACTCTCCATAATAGCGGAATACGTGATTTGGAAGAGAAGAATTGTTGAATACAGTTGTTAGTTTTTGTTTTCTTTGCGCACAAAATGTATTCTCATAGGTTTGTCAAATTGCGATTGAACCACTGATGTCACATGGACTATTTTACCAGTGTACCGATGGGTCTGGGAACATTTCAGTTGCATTGCTGTCTATGCAGGGTCAGAGAGCTCTCAGATTTCATCAAAAATATCTTAATTCGTGTTCTGAAGATGAACGAAGGCTTTATGGGTTTGGAACGACATGAGGGTGAGTAATTAATGACAGAATTTTCATTTTTGGGTGAACTATCCCTTTAAGTCAACAGACATAATGACATAACCTTTTGGCTTTAGAGCAATAAATGAATTTTTGTCATGGACCTGAACTTTCAGCTCTTAAATGTCCTACCTTTTAAACTTAAATGCATTTAAATTTTGGTTGCCAATTATCTACTACCGTATTATTTGAACAGAATTTGTAGTTTTACATGTATTTAATAGAACGCAATTTGTAATACTGTGATTAAGAAGAAACAACATGTTAATTTGGATGGTTCCATAGTATTTAACTCAGTTAAATACTTTGGAACCATCCAAATTAACATGTTCAGTGATAGTATCACTGCTGATTGGTATCACAATTGCTCCTAGCACCCCTTTTTATTTCTCCATAAATGGCATGCTGTGCGTCCTTTCCTGTCTGTTTGTATCTTGTTTGGTCCTGTTGTTTATGGTTGTGAGTAGGTTTTGCAAGAATGGAACAGATCCTAGATTAGTGTGTGTGGGCACTCAGCCTATGTGAGAGATCTAGCTCTTAACAGCAGTCTATGCTCCAAACTCCCCTGTGATTGCAGGACCAGAGGAAGAGGGTGGGCTTTCGGAAATGCCATTCATCCTCTTGTAAGATAATGATCACTTATAGCTTATATTATTGAATATGCATGAATAATTGCGCGTATAAAAAGCCAAAGTATGTGTTTTCATGTCAAATGACACAACAAACATGGGGAAGGTTATGAATGGCAAAGGACTGAGCAAAAAAGGTTTCGTTAACAGGACAGAGGTTTAGTTAAGGTTTCGCTGTGGCTGCTTTCAGGGCCTGTGGTAGCTCAGCAAGATGAGAAATACTCTCGTGTTTAAAGATAGTTCCTTCTACCACATGCGTACAGAAATACGCACATACATATGCTGATGTTCTCTTGAACAGGATGACATGCTGGAGCCTGCAGACCGCAGTCATCACTGACTTCACTCAGCACAGTCTCAGATCATGCAACGACCAAGATGTAGGCCACACCCACTCCGCATTCGTCTCCTCTACCGGCTTTGAGAGGACGGCAGTCAGTGCTGGGGTTCTGTGTCTGTCTTGTCACCTTCCACTTTTCTCTCCATCCATTTGGCCTTCAGATAGACTCCTGCAGGGATGGCGGAGCTGGAGGGCTTGGAGTTCGGAAAGTCAGACTTTGTGCTTCTAGACGAGGTGACCATGGAGCAGTTTATGGAGAACTTGAAGTTAAGGTAAGAGTGAACATTTTACACTAAAGTGGTCTTGTGTAAGAAGATTCAATGGACATTGTGTATTATAAAGAACCTGACAAGACGGCAGTGAACATGGCCTTCAAAAAGGTTACTCAGTGCTTTGATAAAATCAGTTTTATCTGTAGAACTTGCTTGTGAAATCTGTTTCACTTTCAAAGTGAGTATTTAAGTCTCGTTTTATGTTTTTTAGTGCCTTTTTGATTTTGACCACTCCCTTCTTGGTAGACAATGCCGTGACGAGAAAATGACACATTTTTAGAAGAAAAAAGTGGAGGGGAAAGAATGTGTCATTTCGCTTTTGACTTTCCCGCTCATAGCTGAAATATCAATTTAAGTGGCTGACATCAACAGCTTAAGAGTCCAAAAATGGCATCTTATCATGTCTTACAACAGCTGATCATAGCCAGCCAGTAGGATCTTCTGATGATGAAATCACAAGTTTCTAGTTCTCCTTTCCTTTAACATTCAGCATTTGCACTCAAGTCCCACATCTGTGATGCCATTGGTTAAAACGGGTTGAATCAGATGACCTTTTCACAAGACTCTTTATGACTGTGATGTGTTCACTGCACACTTGTTTTGTCCGTCACAGATTCTTACGCCTCTGAAACCTCATAAAAAATGAGTTCAGTTCTTGTCCATTCTGTGCGTTTTATCAGCTGAGGTATGACCAGGCCTCATGTGACTGTACCACACATTTGCACATAAAAACACAGCAAAGTTCATGATTTGCTGAAGGAAGACATCCTACAAACTGAATCCTTAAATAGTACTACTACTGTCTTATTATTTGAATTATGTCGACATTAACGTGAAAGTGCTTGTTTTGAAAGTGTATAAAGAATTTATCGTCTACAATGACTAATGCATTGTAACTTCGCACAGATGTCTATGTATTTTAGCTGTACGGCAAGAAGAGATAGCGTGTTAGTGGATATGTTTACTTAACTAAGATTACACTATATTTTATGTTGATTGAAATTCAGAAAGTGAGTCATCTTGAGCCCCATGACACTTCCTGTTCTCACTTCCCAGCCCGTATCACTTCCTGCTGAATACAGACGTGTGACATTGAGAAACATACTGTGGCACATAATACCTAGATTAACGTCAAGTTATGACACTTGTTTCCCCTTGTTTAAATTTAAATGAATCTCCAATTGTATTCTGATATTTGATAGATTAAAATGTGTAAAAAAGGGATGTAGTTTATGATGTTTTATTATATTAATGTTGAACAAATTGAGGATGTATTCCTATCTGTAACTTCATCTTAAACCTCTAAGTATGATTAAAGGCAGAGTAAGTGATTTCTGGTAGCCAATGTTGATATTTGAAATCACCAAAACAAACCCACCTCACCTTGCAGTAATACTCAGTGCATCCATCAGTTGTTCTTTGTGTCTCTCGATTCATCAGGAACTAAACCCAACCAGCACATACGATGAAAACAATGAGTCTTGTTAAAGATGTTTCTGCTGTTCAGCTTGACATGCATATCATTCTCAGTATTGTTTGTTGTTTCCAGGTTTGAGAAAGCCCGTATTTACACTTTCATTGGAGAAGTAGTGGTGTCAGTCAATCCGTACAGACATTTGGATATCTATGGGAAGGAGGTCATTGAGGACTACAGGGGAAGAGAACTGTATGAGAATCCACCTCACCTGTATGCTGTCGCAGACGCTGCTTATAAAGCCATGAAGAGACGAGCCAAAGACACATGCATCGTCATTTCAGGTACTAAACACACAGTCACAGCTGAAAAAAACAACAACACAATAATCAAACTGGATAACCAGAATGAAAATGCACAAATGCACATTGAAAACATGTAATATTTAACCCTGACATATCAAATGATAGTCAGAAAAATCTACTGAACCTTTAGACAAAATATTTTAAAAAAGTTTTTGTTGAGTATCATATTTGATACATCAGGCTTTTATATAATGAGAATATGGAGCTCATCCCTAAGGAGTAAAAAACACATCAGAGGCTCAGACTGAGCAAAAATATGCAGTTTGGTGAAGTTGCTGATATTTAAATGGCCAAAAAGTAAGATGAAAATCTAATAGCTTGTAATGTAAATCCTGAGATCGACTACTTACATAAAATGCATGTAAGTATCATTTGTTACTCTATATCTCCCCCAGTAATATATTTAAAATACATTTATTTCATACTAAGTATAGTTCAAATCTGTTAACATATTTACTGACATATCGCTTAAGACTGATATAAAAATTATAATTAAACTTTAATTGGAGGACTACTTGTGCACAATGCACATTTCTTCATATTAAACCTAAAATGTGTTTTAATGTCACTGTTGATGAGGATTGTATGATCTTTGAATAATATCGGTCTTTAAATGCAAGATATTTAAAGTGTTCTGAAAATATACTTGCAATAGTTTCACTTTAGCACAATCAAATATACTTTGGTATATATTTAGTTGGACTTCAGCACTACTTCCTCACAATTAAATTTAGCAAATTTCCAATTTAGCAGACTTTAAGTATACTAAAAGTACAATTGCAGGGTATTTTTATATATGTAGTGTAATTAACGTATACATTTTTTACAAATGTATACGTTACATTTGTAAAAAATGTTAGCTCTGTAGTTTTTTATTATGGAGGGCAAATATATATAATGCAATAGAATAAAATGATGACTGAGAGATCCTCAAAAGCCTGATGGATCATATTTGATACATGATTTAACATGATTTTTAAAGAATTAAGTATGGGCAATAAAGTAAAGCTAAGCTTCTTCAGTCCAGCAAGTGTTCATCTTAAAATATTATAATTGGGGCCCCGGTATACTTCAAGCAGAATCCAAGAACAAACTGGTGTGACGTCATTTCGATTAAAACCAAGCCATAACCTATACAATCAAACCAAGACCTATATATAAAAGCTGGACCTATATAAAATCTTATTTTGCTTTTATTTCTTCCATACCTCTTCCTTGCTGATTTTAGCGCATCTGTAAAACTGTTTGGAGCAGCAGAATTACTCTGTGATGAACCATGTACAGAGAGTTTGTCCACTGTGCGTTTAATTAGGGAAGAATAAAACTGATCAACAAAGACATTACTGTATGGATTAGACAAATCTCCTTGTGTTTCAGGTGAGAGCGGAGCAGGCAAGACTGAGGCAAGCAAGTACATTATGCAGTACATTGCAGCAATCACCAACCCTAGCCAGAGAGCAGAGGTCGAGAGGTCAGTTTTCTGGGGATACTGACAGCTCTGGACTTTTTAGGGCTATTTTTTTCTTTTCTTTTGTAGTTAATTTAGTGCTGGGCAACGATTAATTGCGATTAATCACTTCCAAAATAAAAGTTTTTGTTTATATAATATATAGCGGGTAAAATAATTATTGAACACCTATATTACACCTATATTTCTCAGTAAATATATTTCTAAAGGTGCTGTTGACATGATATTTTCACCAGATGTTGGTAACAATCCAAGTAATCCATACACATAAAGAAAACAAAACAAATAAGTTTAGAAATTAAGTTCTGTGTAATAAAATGGAATGACACAGGGAAAAAGTATTGAACTACTGAAATTTATGTATGACAGCTTTAAGATGCCTCCTGTATGGAGAAACTAGTCGCATGCATTGCTCAGGTGTGATTTTGGCCCATTCTTCCACAGAATCTTCAAATCTTGAAGGTTCTGTGGGCCTCTTCTATGAACTCTGATCTTTAGTTCTTATTTTCTATTGCATTCAAGTCATTCTAGCAGCTTTATTTTCTTTCTCTAAAACAAATTGAGAGTTTTCTTGGCTGTGTTTGGGATCATTGTCTTGCTGAAATGTTTCACCCTTGTTTCATCTTCATCATCCTGGTACTGTAGGTGTTGGGACTGAACCAGCTAATATTACTTCCCACTGACTAGAGGCATGATGCTTTCTAATTACTGATAGATTTCTGCTGGTTTCTTGGCTTTCCATGCCTTTTTGCACCTCCCTTTCTTCATGTGTTCAATACTTTTTCCCTGTGTCATTCAATTCAATTACACATAACTTAATTTCTGAACTTATTTGTTTTGTTTTCTTTGTGTGTATGGATTACTTGGGTTGTTACCGGCATCTGGTGAAAAATTCAAGTCAACAGCACCTTTAGAAATATATTTACTGAGAAAAATGGTGACGCATTCAATACTTATTTTACCCGCTGTAGGCTATGTGTGTGTGTACTGTGTATATTTATTATGTATATATAAAGACACACACATACAGTATATATTTTAAAAATATTTACATGTATATTTTTATATTGTTATATACATGTTTACATGTTATATTTATATTCATATAATTTATATTGTATATATATATATAAACATATTTTTCTTACATATTGTAACGGGGCTGACGAGACGTGAGACGTGTGGATCCATGTGCGAGCTTTATTAAAACAGAAGAGGTCAGAAACACAGGCAGGGTCGAACAATGGCAAACAGGTATAATGAGGGCAAGACAGAAGAGTAATCCAAAACGGGCGTGGTCGATAAGCGGCTAACAATATCCAGAGGGCTTGACACGAGGGGTATCCAATAACAATGCAAAGGTCCAAGCAGGTAATTTATTGAGATGCACCTGTATACATGCATGTGTGTTTATTTATATATACATAATAAATATACACAGTACACACACATATTATGTACACAAAAACGTTTATTTTGGATGCGATTAATCGCGATTAATCGTTGCCCAGCACTAATTTAATTATATGCATTTTATTGCTTTTATTACACAATAATATAGTAAAAACAGATTTGTATGACAGATTATTTGAAAAGAAAATGCCAAATGTTCATGTTTAATGGACTGCTTAACATAAACTTGGAGAAGAAGGCTGAACATCTTCTAACGTTAGATGGCAGTATGCAACATCTAACATTGAGTCTCTTATTTTCGTGTAAGCTGACAAAACACGTTTGTTTATACATTGTTTTTGCCTATAACTGTATCTGCATCCTACCACAGTGTGAAGAACGTGCTTCTGAAATCCAACTGTGTGTTAGAGGCCTTTGGAAATGCTAAGACCAACCGCAATGATAACTCCAGCCGCTTCGGCAAATACATGGACATCAACTTCAACTTCAACGGAGACCCCACAGGAGGACACATCAACAACTACCTGCTGGAGAAGGTGAGGCCTTCAGTGTTGTATCAGTACTAATTAAAATGCGCCAGGAATATGACATGAATATGAAACTTGACATTAGCACGTAAAATAATAATAGTTCGATTTGAATGTGGTGATCGCAATTTGATGAAAAAAATATATACAGTAACTGTTAGCCCATATTTTTTTCAGCTAGGTCTTGCAAAAAATATTAGGGTGTTATTACTGACTGTGCAGGGCTTTGTTTTCATGTACAGGTTATTGTTTACCTTTGCTTGGTTTGTTGGCACGAACCAAATAAACAATTTTTATTTTATTTTATTTTACTTTTTAAAATGACAGTTTTGTGATATACCTGTTATTTTTAAGTCTTGTAATATTGTGCAATGACAATTCTAAGATGTTTTCTCCCGTCCGATTTGGAACGTTCTCAAAACTTTGGCTAACATAGAAACATTGTTATCTGGTCTATAATAATGTTCTCAGAATGTTAGCGCCAAAGCATTATTTTTGGAATGCATCATAGAATGCTCTACTTTTGAATCGTTTTAGTTGGACGTTCTTTTAATGTTTTTTTTTCTTTTCAGAACGTTCAAAGAACATTTAAAAGTAACAGAGAAATAACGTTTCCATAACAAAGGTTAGAAAACGTTTATAGAACATTTTATTTTTTTTGCTAGATATAACAACTGAAAGCGCTCAAAGTTAATAGTTTTTTGTTATTATTGATATTTTTGTGATATTACCTTGGCAATAAAAAGCCATTGGTGCTCTGCAGAAATTTTTATATATTAAAATATTAGTCAAAATAAAAGAAGAGGTGGGAAATCATCCCTCTGAGTGCAACTTCTACTAGGAAAATAAGTGAAAAGACAAAAAATACAGACATTTACTGAAGAGCTGTCCTCTTTTATCAGGGTGGATTGAGAGTCAAATCAATAGGCCTACTTTATAGTACAGAAAAGCAATTAACACAAATACTTTGCTGTATTTACAGTCTAGAGTTGCCCAACAGCAGGAGGGAGAGAGAAATTTCCACTCATTTTATCAGGTGAGATCTTCCGAACAGGTTATGGTGAATGAAATTACAATATTACTTCAAGAGTGCCAAATGCTGCATGAACTGTTATTAAATGTTTAATAAACACTTAAGATAAATCAGCATTGATGTGTTCTGTTTGTGCAGGTGTTACGGGGAGGATCTGATGGATTGCTGAAGTCTTTGTATCTGCAGAGAGATCCAGCAGAATATGCCTACACCAATCAAGGAGCCTCAATCACACTTGTACGTACTTATCCTACGAGTATATTACAGTTTATGAACACACAACCACTTCACAGACTAACCATTCAAGACTGAATGGATAGCATTCTGCTCTCCGATAAGAGTTTATACAGCGTACTGCGAATATTACTATTTCAAAATATACAGTGTTTCTTAGCTTCTCTTTTTCTGTCTCTCTGTCATTCCAAATCATCTTCACAGGCATCCAATAATGACTCCTTATGTCACAAAGCTGTGATGGCAGCACTGAAAGTGATTGGCTTCACCGCCGAAGAGATCATCTCCATCTACAAGATTCTCAGTACCATCCTACACCTGGTCAGTCCCATACTGAGTGCTCTGGAAGATTGTCTTCTGCTGTTAAAATTCCTGATTGCAGTTTAATTTGAAAGCCCAATGTAGTAATTAAATACAATACATTTTATATATATATATATATATATATATACTGATTATAACTGATTTTATTGCCAGAGAATGTACATTACTTTACACTTTTTTTTTAAATAAAGTAAATAAAGTAATTTTAGTAGTTTTGCTTGACAACATATATCCTAAGTAATTTTTAATAATATTTTTTTTAATAATACATTGATATACAGTATATACTTATATCATTTAAATATATCCAGTATATAAAAAAATTGATTTCATATTTTATTAATTTTCATGACATTTCCAGGTCTAAAAATCACACTTTTAAAATTCTCATACAGTATATATCCAGGTTGTCCAAGATTATGGTTCTTAAATAAAAATGGCAGTTGTTAAGGGAACAAATTAAATAAAAAATATATAATTTCAGCTTGCATCTTTGTATTCAGGAGTTTTAGCTTAAAGGGGTCATATGATGCGATTTCATTTTTTCCTTTCTCTAAATAATTTTAGGCCCCCTAGTTGGAACCACTGGTTTAAATGACTTGCAATGTTATTGTTTCAGGGTAACCTTCAGTTTACTAGTGATGGTGAACATGTCGTACTTGTCGGTGAAGATACAGTGAAGCACATTTCTGAGCTGACGTCCACAGAGCCTGAGAATACCAGAAAAGCACTGCTGTACCGTACAGTGGCTACTGGGGGTGGAGAGGTCATTGAAAAGGGACACAACGAGCAGGAAGCTAGCTATGGAAGAGACGCTTTTGCCAAGGTATTATACACTTTCCTGCAAAAAGTCTTCCTTGTTTGTGGCTCATCCATCATCTCGTTATTCTAATTACATAAAGATTCTTAGAGGTAGCATATGAAAAATCAGATTTTCCTTGAATCCTTTAAATCATACCAGTTCAGTTTGCTATGTAAGCATCCTGTAACTTTCAGAACTCAAAAGTCACTCTTCATTTGAAAGACTATATTTAGCAGAAACAGCTCATTAGGAAACTTTGTGACATAAAAGAATGAACACATGAACACTTACAGTACATCACCAATGTATGTTTAATATCAGGGAAATGGGAGTGTGGAAAATTCAAAACAAAATCTGTTTTTGGTGCTAACATTCTAAATGAACTTTAGGAAAAAATAAAATGATAAATGTTGGTATGACCACTTAAAATATGTCTTTACTGTATTATATGTTCAGTTCTTATTTTGGCATGGCTTTCATTTTAGGCTTTATATGAGAGATTATTTGCGTGGATAGTGGGTCGTATCAATTGCGTGATTCAAGTGAAGGACTACAATCCTGCTCTGCATGGCAAAAACACTGTTATAGGTGTGCTGGACATCTATGGCTTTGAGATCTTTGATAACAACAGGTCAGTGTCATTCATGCATTGTGTAGTTATTAATATTGCTTGGCATTAAAATACTTCAAATGCATAGGACTTTTTTTTTTTTGAGTGGTTTAAGTGGTTGGTTCTTTCTTACCCGTTTCATGTCCGCAGCTTTGAGCAGTTTTGCATTAACTACTGCAACGAGAAGCTACAGCAGCTCTTCATTGAGCTTATTCTACGGCAGGAGCAGGACGAGTACCAGAGAGAGGGTATCACATGGCAGAATGTGAGTATGATACAAAAACTTAATCCATACTTAATATAATCCATGCACCTTTTCTCTAAACTGGACCTTTCTTTCTTTTAGATAGAATACTTTAACAATCAGATCATAGTGGATTTAGTGGAGCAGCCTCATAAGGGCATCATCTCCGTCCTGGATGAAGCCTGTCTCACTGCAGGGAAAGTCACAGATACTGTCTGCTTGGACAGCATGAACAAAAAGCTGGGCCAGCACCCTCACTACACCTCCCGGAAAGTAAGCACTCAGAAGAGATACCATTCCTTCTTGCCTCAGCAATCCTCCGATCACATAAGCGGACATTTTTAGGCCTGCCATGAATTATGGAACAAAACTGCAACCTCATTTGACCAGACTTGTAGTGGGCTGACTTCAGTTTAGCAGTAGGGTCAGAAGGGGGCAGTATTCTTTCACATTACATGCACACAGAAACAAAAACGTGCAGTCTGATACCTGTTGAAGTCATCACCGTTGAAAATCAGACGTTTTTTTTTTTTTTTTCCTACACGCCATCACAGTATGTGAGGGGCGTAACATTTCCGTCTCACGCTTGAGGCTAAAATGCCGGCAGTTCTGACTCACGTAAGTACGTTTTCATTTAAAGGATTTGCCACTGATGATTCAAATGCGAGTTTTGGGCAGTGTGGATTAACGTTAGCACTTGTTGTTTGTCATTTCTCTGATCACAAATGCAGACATGGTTTTATGTTTACGCAGCGCAATGCAAGGCAATGCGTAAAAAGACAGTATAAGTCATTATAATCTGTAATTATGTCCCCACTGGATGCAACAAATGCCTCTTTTGTAATGGGTTTTAATGTTTTTGTGTCGTCGCTCCGGCTGGGACACGCCATCACAGTATGGTGAGGGGCGTAACATTTCCGTCTCACGCTTGAGGTATTCGGCCAATCACAACGCATTGGATAGCTGGCCAATCACAGCACACCTCGCTTTTTTAGACCGATGAGCTTTGTAAAAATCGACGCGTTTCAAAAAGGCGGGGCATAGAGGAGAAACAACAATAATGTACAGTATGTGGAAAATAATGTGTTTTTTTAACTTTAAACCGCATAAACACATTTCATTACACCAAATACACAAAATAATGTTCTTTTTAGCAGCATCATATGACCCCTTTAATTTAAACTTTGTTTTGTCTTATTTTAAATAATTTTAGGCCCCCTAGTTGGAACCACTGGTTTAAATGACTTGCAATGTTATTGTTTCAGGGTAACCTTCAGTTTACTAGTGATGGTGAACATGTCGTACTTGTCGGTGAAGATACAGTGAAGCACATTTCTGAGCTGACGTCCACAGAGCCTGAGAATACCAGAAAAGCACTGCTGTACCGTACAGTGGCTACTGGGGGTGGAGAGGTCATTGAAAAGGGACACAACGAGCAGGAAGCTAGCTATGGAAGAGACGCTTTTGCCAAGGTATTATACACTTTCCTGCAAAAAGTCTTCCTTGTTTGTGGCTCATCCATCATCTCGTTATTCTAATTACATAAAGATTCTTAGAGGTAGCATATGAAAAATCAGATTTTCCTTGAATCCTTTAAATCATACCAGTTCAGTTTGCTATGTAAGCATCCTGTAACTTTCAGAACTCAAAAGTCACTCTTCATTTGAAAGACTATATTTAGCAGAAACAGCTCATTAGGAAACTTTGTGACATAAAAGAATGAACACATGAACACTTACAGTACATCACCAATGTATGTTTAATATCAGGGAAATGGGAGTGTGGAAAATTCAAAACAAAATCTGTTTTTGGTGCTAACATTCTAAATGAACTTTAGGAAAAAATAAAATGATAAATGTTGGTATGACCACTTAAAATATGTCTTTACTGTATTATATGTTCAGTTCTTATTTTGGCATGGCTTTCATTTTAGGCTTTATATGAGAGATTATTTGCGTGGATAGTGGGTCGTATCAATTGCGTGATTCAAGTGAAGGACTACAATCCTGCTCTGCATGGCAAAAACACTGTTATAGGTGTGCTGGACATCTATGGCTTTGAGATCTTTGATAACAACAGGTCAGTGTCATTCATGCATTGTGTAGTTATTAATATTGCTTGGCATTAAAATACTTCAAATGCATAGGACTTTTTTTTTTTTGAGTGGTTTAAGTGGTTGGTTCTTTCTTACCCGTTTCATGTCCGCAGCTTTGAGCAGTTTTGCATTAACTACTGCAACGAGAAGCTACAGCAGCTCTTCATTGAGCTTATTCTACGGCAGGAGCAGGACGAGTACCAGAGAGAGGGTATCACATGGCAGAATGTGAGTATGATACAAAAACTTAATCCATACTTAATATAATCCATGCACCTTTTCTCTAAACTGGACCTTTCTTTCTTTTAGATAGAATACTTTAACAATCAGATCATAGTGGATTTAGTGGAGCAGCCTCATAAGGGCATCATCTCCGTCCTGGATGAAGCCTGTCTCACTGCAGGGAAAGTCACAGATACTGTCTGCTTGGACAGCATGAACAAAAAGCTGGGCCAGCACCCTCACTACACCTCCCGGAAAGTAAGCACTCACAAGAGTTACCATTCCTTCTTGCCTCAGCAATCTCCCGATCACATCACATAAGCATACATTTTTAGGCTTGTCATGAATTTTTGAACAAAACTGCAACCTCATTTAACCAGACTCTAGTTGCAGAACTGCACTTCTGCAATTTGGCAGCAGGGTCAGAAGGGGGCAGTATTCTCTTACATTACACCCACACAGAAACGAAAACATGGAGAGTCTGATACCTGTTGATGCTATGACCACTAAAACTGGTGATTTTTTTTCTCTCTCTCAGCTCTGTCCCGCCGATAAGACCATGGAGTTCAATCGAGATTTCCGTATCCGACACTACGCGGGAGATGTTACGTGAGTGTTTTAAAGTCCTCCAGGTGATGTGAACATGCTGATGGGAAGAACTTGAAATACTACTAGTCTTTCATTTTAGCAGCAATCTGAAGCTGAAATGTTTGCATATTCTCAAGGACAAATGAAAGCTACATAAATTGCAACATGACAAGATATTTACCTCATTGTACCACTGTGGTACATTTGCCATTCAGTCCACATTTAAAACAACAACAACAAAAATAACTTTCATGTTACAGAAACAAACAGAATATTCAGCTGTAAATAATAACAAATACTAAATACATCTAATAAAAGATGTATTCTCACCCGCCCAAATTATATACATAGATAGAGAGAATTATTTTTTTTCTAAAATCAAACATTTTTACATTTTGTTGAGTATTGTTTTCTTTAGAATAAAATGCACTGATAAATCCTTCACAATAATGCTACATTTATATCATGTTATAATTACTGTAATTAAACAGAAATCGAATAACTGAATAAGTTGAAATTTTAAGCTTTCCCACAGATTTCTGTTAGCCCTGGCTCTCTAACCAGTTGAAATGCTATCATAGAGTACTTTTGTCCGTGAAAATTACTTGGGCCTTATTCATAAAATGTGCATACGATTGAATTTGATCCTAATACATTTCATGTATTTTATCTAGGGCTGCACGATAAATCGCATGCGATATTTAACGCGCATCTTATCAGTAAAGCCGGTTCTGTAATCAGCGGTAAATCTCCATCACGTGCGGGCTTTCACATTGAGCAGCATTAACTACACAGAGCCGTTGTTCACTGAGGAGCTGCGCAAAACCACGTTCATATTCACACGATTTTTTGCGCAGCTCGTCAGTGAACAACGGCTCTGTGTAGT